GGTGTCCCGGTCATGTTTTGATGGTGCCCTGGTCATTTTGTGATGGTGTCCCGGTTATGTGATGATGGTGTCCAAGGAAGAGATGGTCGATGTGTTGAAAACAGCAGCTGTTTCCAGATTTTTCTTTTTGTCCCGGTTTGTATCTTGCTATTGGGGTCTCCAGCTGGGCTAATTTCCCGCTTCACCTCCAGTGGTTGACCCTTTGCACGAACTTTCCGGCCTGTCGATCAGGAAGGCTTGGGGGCTGTAGGAGAGCTCTCGGATCGATGGACCGCGGTCCACCTTGGACACATCACGACGGAATCAACCGGAAAAACAAACACACATGGATGAAGAAACCATCGGTTTTATTGGCAACAAAACGATTCCACAAAAACACAAAAGGGAACAAACTAGACGACCCTCCACAAAAACTTTTGCCATGACCGATGATGGTGGAGTGTGGAAATACAGCAGTTCTGATTGTGTAGCCAACCCGTAACCCAAGTGACTCATTGAAAAGACTTGAAAACGAGAGTAGGTTGGAGGCCATTGCTATTGGGTATCTCCAAGAAAGCCAAACAAAAACACATCAAAGCATCAAATCATGGCAGATCCCCAGGCACTGCGGAGAAATGGACACAGGTGGTGTTTTTCCATGTTGTTTTTCTCCCCAATGTGTGGAGAGGATTGCAATGTCCGGTGAAGTAGCTCTAATAGAACAGATGCTGCTGTGTTTGCTGGTAGCACCTTACATGCGACGATCAACCAGGTTCAACAAAACAAAATATACTCAATGTGATGGGGAACAGAATCCAGCAAAACCATTGAACACAATTACAAAATGCCGTGGTGGCACTCGTTCTTTTAACTGCTGAGTGTGGGCCACCCTGATCATTTCCACCAGCAATATGAGTAGGAGTGCTGCGCCAAGGCACGTCTGAAAGACCAGTCACAATCTTCTTCTCCAAATGTTGATAGATGCGCTCCTGTACAGCACCTGCGAGCGCTGCCAACACACCTTCTTTTCATGTCTCCGGATTTGCACTTTCAACTTAGGCATTGATCATCTTGCCAGCTGCGCTGCCCAACGGGTGTCTATGTAACATCCGCGCCACCCAAACACCTTCGCTGCACACGCTCGCCTTCTTTGTCGCAGCTGTGGCACGAGTGCTGGCACATCACCAGCATGTAGCTGGGATTCGCCTGTGGGTGACATGGCTGGGAACAACGGGTCGCCTGTTGCGATTTGAAATCATTCTCATCGAATTTGTGCTGCAGGGTGTCATACAGTCCCCATGGTTGGGAGACAGGGAACTCAAAGCAAAAGAAACCAACAACCCGACAACTACTGAGGCATCTTCCAATCTCTTTGTTTGTTTAAAGGCAAAACGGTGTTTTGATCAGCCCACGGCTAAGCCCGCTATGTTTAGAGCCATCTGAGGTAACTTCCTAATCCTTCACGCTGAGTCCTGCAACTGGCATTCGGATATTTTTCGTGGTCTACGAAGTGTCACCGCACTGTGCAAGTCGTTGGGTGAGTGACCCATGCTGAACAAAAGCGTGACACATATGTCTCGAGTGGTGAATCCAAGCCCAGTACAACCGCTGCAGGGTGTGACTTTCGAAAACTAAGTCTATTGGGGAGTCATTCTCTAGTCACAGCGAGCACCTTTCAATATGCCTCAACTACCTTCTGCTTCAACAAAAATCCCTTCATTGGACTGCCTGACAGTGAAACAAAACCATGCGCTCCTCTTGGCTCCTCTTGGGGAACAGAACTTGACCGCCTAGCGCGTGACGAAACATCCGACGCCTGGCATTCCCCGATGGCGGCCCAGTATCCGCACTGCGCGTTGCGATCCTCACAGGGCCTGGGCGAGTCGTCGGTCGGTATCGACACATTTGGCCGTCCACGATGGGTGATCCCACCTCTGAGGACTGTGCTGCTCATCTATTTTGGGTTCACAAGTCCTTGAACCAACAGTGAAATCAGAGTTGACAAGTGGAAGAAGTATTGATGATAGCGACCGGGCTGCTTCGTTGGCCATCCGAACCGGATGTGTTTGCTTGTTGATGAACACGTCGTGACCTCCTTTGCTCTACACGAAGTTCAAATCTACACGAAGTCTTAATATGACTTTCGTCTCACGAGTGCTCTGATGAGCTACCGGTTTGTATTTAGATCCTCTTTAAACCAAGACACTGAGCCATGGTCAGCAGTGGCCCCGCTACACCAAGCCTCGGTAGCAAACGCCAAATAGAACCTGACCTCCCTCAAAATTGTTTCGACAAACGCAGTGAATTCTTGTTTCTAAACCCAGTGATTCTTTGGAAGAAAGGAGACGGCGTGACACGGTGTCCGGTTTTTTCAAAGGACCCTTTAGGGATTGCCCCCAAGAAGGACGATTCCTCCATCTTCCACCCACTCTCGGGTCACGAACGCTCACGGACGACCACCTCTTCACTGGGCGTCGGGAAGACCGAATCCTTCGAGATCGGATCGGTGCGAAGCAGGAGACGCCATCTAGAAGCATGCTCCTAGTAGCGATGCCCTTTGCTACTAGTAGCTTCTTGTTCCTAGTAGTAGGGCCAGGAGCCCCTAGTAGCTTCTTGTTACTACTAGTAAAGCACCTGTTACTAGTAGCGAGGCACTTGTTCCCACATTCAGAGAAAGGAGGGCGTTCAGAAAGGATCTTGCAGATCTTCTGGCTACACACCGTTTTGGCCCAGATCCGTACTTGCTCCAAGAGACGCGAAAAGTAGCTGGCGTCCAAAGGTCATTGGGAAGACCAGCATCGGCGGCAGAAATCGTTGAGGCTTCTGGCCTGCGAGGTCCTTTTTCAAAACTTTCCTCATCCCGAGAACAAATTGGATGTTGGGCCGTGTCGGGCATGAAAATGATCACCTCTTCTATTCTTGGAACACTTAAAACATATCATAACAATGCAAAGACTGAGGCTTTCTGTGTCCGTGCGTGATCCTCAAGGTAAGGAAATAGACGAGCACTTGGTCAACACTTTTTGCGGATACTTTTCCATTTGGCAAACCAGTGCTCTTTGCCGCTTCGGGCATAAATCAGCTGCGAAATGAGATGCCCTTTTCAACCCCTCCCTACATCGTGACAGGTGCAAACCGGTCCAAGCCGGGCCATCGGCTGGTGCTGCCGGTTCTGATGATCTGAGTCGGTTGAGGCAGTGCTTCGGTCCACGGTTTCGCTCCAAAAGCTGGAGCAGAAAACCGGACCCCCGAACAGCCTTACTTGAAGCCTTGCTTCTGGCCGTGTCGCGTTTTGGGACATCCCCATCTTTTCCTGATGTGCTAAAACGTACCTGCCACCACTGCGCCAATCCTTTTTTCCACAGGCGAAGGCGTCCCCGCCGATCCCCGCTACAGCTGACGCCACTGGAAGGATATGGACCATTAAGGTGTTTTTTGCGCGGTCAGGTTGGTACGCTTCGACACCGGAGACCCGGTTTGCCCACGAACAGGAAGGTAACGAGCCACTCAAAGAAATAAGCCAAGACTGGTCGAGGGTCTAGTAGTGAATCAGCTCGTCTTTGAGTGTTTGTGTGGGAGCGTTTGAGGAGATCGGTGTTCATGATGGAATTCTTTGCAATGGCAACTCACCAAATTGCGTCGCATTGAGACACCTGACAGTTTCTGACTTGCCGAACACTTTCCACCAAAAGAGCGAGGCGAAAGAAAGCAGGTGACCATATGCAGTTTGCCCAATTCCCCAAATCTAGACTCTTCCGTGATCTCTGAGAACCAGGACGCTACCAGGGGCGCTCCTGGCATTACTACTATAGGAACCATCTTCGCTACACTGCTACGAACGTAACACAGGGCATCGCTACGACCGGAGCAAGATAAATGCTACTAGGTGGCCTCGCTAGTAGGAGCAAGGAAGCTGCTAGGAACAAAGGGCATCGCTACTAGGAGCTCCTGGCCTTACTACTAGTAACAAGGACGCTACGAACGGAGACGCTACGTTCGTGAGTTCGTTCGTTGTGGCGCAGTTCGATGCACCGAGTTCCAGTGGAAAGACCCACATGGCACGAGACTCCACGAGTCTCCACGAGTCTCCATGAAGTGGAGCTTAGCACGACGGTCTTTTGCTCTCGATTCTTCCTTTCTTCCTCCTGAGATTCTTTAGGCTTTAGGCCTAATCACAAGGACGGTGCCTTTGTATGAAAGAGTCAGCTCCACTTCAGGCCATCCCAAGAATCCGCTCGACCAGTCAACTGGTAGTGAGCCACAACACTGCAATCAAGGTCCCCTTGGTAAGGGAGTGAATACCTTATTCTGCAAACACTTGCGCAGGTTTCCTATCCCAAAGGACAAACAGAATCCTTCCTGATTCGATGCTCTCCCTCCGAGGAATCTTACTATTACGGAAAGACGTCCAGCAAAGGAGATGAAAAGGAACCTACCATTTGCATTCTTACTACTAGCAACAAGAAGCTACAGAACGGGGCTCCTGGCCTTACTACTAGGAGCGATCGGACGCTACCAGGGTGCAAGAACCGACCATTTGCAGTGCCCTCCTGGGTGTTCCAGACCTTTTTCCAACCGTCCTCATGTCGAGCTCCTCGCTAGCACCGTTGAGGTGGTCCCCAAGTACGACACTAGGCAATAGGACAAGTGGATTGAATTCCATCAGTTCCCTGGGTTTTCCAAGCACTGCTAGTACCCATCCGCAAAACCGCAGAGGGTATCCAAAGCCATCCCAAGTGCGCTCACTTCTGGAATCCCCAGAAGAGTTGACTGGTCGAAAAATCCCTACCATCCACCTGCACCACAGACGTCCAATTGTGGCGTGACAGGCGTGAACGGCGTGCAGTCTGTGATCACATGGGTCACATGGATCACAACCTGTTGGCTTCTTTTGTGCCGATCTATGCTTCGAACAGCTTGGGAGTGCTTCGTTTGGATGCGAATGACTGGAAAGCACCACGGGTATGGCACTTCTTCACATCCAACAGATCTTTCAAAGCATGAATTCTCAGCACGACTCCTCATGCAGCCACCTGACATGGTTCCACGACCCCAAACACCGAAGCGAGATTTTGGTCCACCGACTTGGTGGACAGAGAAACCTGAAAATGAGTCATGTTTGAGCACTTGCAGACTCTGGCTTCTTAAATGCATCTTCTTGTTGACCAACCTCCCCTTCTATTACATCTCCAAACGTGGAACTGCTCTCTCTCAGCCAAAGTTCCGGCCTGCGGAGTTCCGGCCTCGGAAGAGCCTGGCGGAGTGCCAGTTGGTCAGGGCCTCGTGGAGGACCTCTACATCTGACAGCTTACATTGCGCCTTTGCAGACTGCCGGTTACACTTCAGTTCCACTCTTTGCATGTTATCCAACTGAGTCATGGCCTCACCCAAGCACTACCTGCTTGAAAAGACCCAACTTAAAAAAGAAAAGAAACGATTCCTTTCAATAAGGCCTCCTTCAAAGGGGACCTTTACCTTGATGGCACAGGTTCACCCAGCAGGTCTTTTTCTGATTTCAAAAAAACATCCTCGTGGCCTTTCAACTTGCGCTTCTTCGGAGTCTTCAGCTTCTCACTTCCTACGCGGTCTGAAACCGCCGTTTCTCGCCGTTCTTCGACGAGAAGAGGCGTTTCGGTCGGTGCCTTCAAAGGCTTTGGACCCAAACTGTGAAGTTCTCTGAGCGCCACCAGCCTTTTCTGTCAGCAAAAGGACCCCTTTGCAAACATCCATCCATTAAATAACCATCCATCAGTTCGAAATGCATGCAGTGAACAAAGAGCTTGAACTTTAAGCAAACCCACCTCCATGAAACAAGGTGAGGAAGGATCAGGTGAGGTAAGGTGGAGTGACACGTGGTGGAACGTTGTTGCAGGTATCGCCGTGGGGATTTGAATGGTGGCACATATACAGGTGGTCACTTCATTCCAAATGGCCAGACTTTCCAGAATCCTTTATCAAGATTTTCGTGCCCCAGCCGATCATCAGGCACAGGCAAATTGGATTGTGAACAAAAATCCACCGTTCGTGTACTCCTGATCGGTCTGAAAGCTAGGTCAACTGACAGCAGTCCGGCTGTCAGTGCCTGAGTCAACGTGACCAAATCGGTGAAGCTGGTGGTGGGCTTCTGAGAGGCGCATGGCATGAGTAGTGCCCCGTGGGTTTCCTCCACTCGCATTGCCTAAGAAAAGAGAGAACAAACATCTCTAACGTCCAAAGCTAAGCGATACAGACTTGCACTTGAATCAAGTCTTAAGGTCCTCCAGCGGCTTTCCGCTTCTTCAAAGAGATGGAGCTCTTCCCATCACCTCGGAGCAGTCTGCAATATGCGGATACACAGTGGAGGCAGAATTCCGCAGATTTCTTGTGAAATCACCGGATGCACTAGACATTTGGAATCGGATCTGGATGAATCGCCCCCCCCCCCCGAAGCTGTCGAGGCCTCTCGCAGCCAAGGAGCCGGAACCCGATGAGGTCGGAGGCCGATCGCTGGAGTCGGAAGCTACTAGTAACAAGTGCCTTACTAGTAACAAGAAGAATTTCATTAGAATTGTAATTACAAGCAAAGGAATCTACTAGGTTGGAGTTGACGTGGGAAGTGAACTTTTCTCCTCCTCCCCATCCTTGGAGGCCCGGCGCTCGCGGTCGCGGCGCGAGGCCGGGGAGCCCTTGG